TAGACAAGGCACCCGAATACGCGAAGATGACCATAGTGAGCTGGGTGACCAAAGAGGAGCTCAAATGGGGTCTTTCCAGTGGCGGAGGTGGGGAGCCGATTTATAAGGTAAACGGCCGTGAGCACACACTCTCCCCAGAACCGGATAGGCAGCCCAGCATGAACCGGAGGGCTCTAGCAGTGTCGAGTATGTGTCGATGTTTTTGCTCGACAATTCCGTTATGCTGGGGCGTATCCGTGCAACTGGTCTGCAAAATTATGCTTGTTCGATCATAGAAATCTTTCAACGAGTTGGTGTTGAACTCTACCCCATTATCCGTCTGAATGCGACGAACCTGTCTGCCAAATTGAGTGCGAACCATCTCACAAAACATGAGAACAAACCGAGCAACGTCAGATTTAAACCTGAGTAAATAGACCCATACACCCCGACTGTAATCACCAACGATGGTGAGAAAGCAATGAGCACCACTGAGAGACACTTGTTTATAAGGACCCCAAATATCCATATGAACCAAATCAAAACAACCCATAGTTTTAATCGAACTCGAAGAAAACGGTAGCCGACTCTGTTTAGCCCTTGAACAAGGGTGACAAGGGGACAAGGGTTTGCTAATGGACAAAGGAATAACAGAACTAAGCTGAGACATCATCTCCAGCGAGGGATGTCCGAGGCGCTCATGCCATCGTTCCTGCTCCACACCAACTCCACGACCAGCAGCTAAAGCAAAAGACTCATGACAACCAAAAAAGTTTCAAATAGTAAAGTCCATCGCGAAGCTCACCCTTCCCAATCACTGTCTTGGAGTGTAAGTCCTGAAGCACACACATGTCACGCATAAAAACCAATGCAACATTATTATCCTGCAGCAAACGACTTACAGACAACAGGTTACACCGAAACTGATGGAACGTGTAAGACACGTTCAAGGGTGAGTCCTGTCGGAAGTTTGACTGCGCCAACCTGTTGAACAGGGATCCGATCTCCATTGGGCAGCCGAACAGGCTGATTCTCACCATTCGAAACCACATCGCATAATAATTCTGAATTGATTGTGATGTGCTCATTACATCCAGAATCAATCAACCACTCAAGTGAATCAAAGGAATTACCTGCCATGTTGGCCGACGGGTCCTCGACTGACTTGTTGTGGTCAAAGAACTTCTTCAATTGCTCTAGCTGGGCAAGCGTGAAGCCTGGAACGAGACTGGCCTCACCATCCACTTGGGCTGCACGCGGAGTCCCATCCTGACTGGCAAGGCGATGTCTACGTTCGCCCCGCTCGGACGAGGTTCTGTTCGACCGATCGTCCCTGCCCCGCTCGCCACGCTTGCCTTTGTCAGTCGATCCCGACCTGTTGTTGTTGCGTGGTGGCCAACCGATCAGCTCATAACACATCTCCTTGACGTGCCCTGTCTTCCCGCAATGAGTGCACTTCGTGCGGGGACGGGAGCCTGACTCTCGATCGGAATCAGCTCGACCAGAATCGCCTCGTGCAGCAAACGCCGCAGCTTCAGCGTCGGGGCGTCTTTGCTGGGCCAACAGCCGTTGCTTCTCATCATTAGATACGATGTTGAACGCCTCGGCCAGGGATGGCGGCGGCTTCATGGCCAAAATTTGCGACCGCACCGTGGTGAAGTTTTCGTCCAATCCCATTAGGAAGTCCAATAACCTGGTGCAATCTTCCCGATCTCTTGTCCTCCGTTCGAGACCACAGGTGCATTGTCCGCAAGTACATCGTTCTTGGGGATAGATGGACTGCGCCTCCTGCCAGTAGCTCCGCAGCTGGGTGTAGAACGAGGATACAGAGAGCTTTTCTTGCCACAGCCCAGCAACAAGTCGCCGTAGCTCGTACCCTCTCGTGAGCGACCCTTGGCCGAACCGCTCCTTCAAGTCCAACCAAATTTCTCTTGATGTTTTTGCAAACCTGACACTGCTGCGTACTTCTTTATTCATGGAGGTACGCAACCAGCCTTTGACGACCGCGTCGCGGCGATCCCAGGGTCCATTCTCTGGTTCACCGTGCGGCCTAACGATCGAGCCATCAACGAACCCGAACTTTTTCTTGACGATGAGGGAGTCTGTCATATCGACTACCCATTCACCATAGTTTGTGGGGGTGAGCACTTCCCCAACATGAAGCTGACCCGTACTGTCCGATGGGTGAAGATAGAGGACCAACGAAGGGTCCATGACTGCCGCCGGAGTAGACGATCCTCCGGGAAACGAGACAACCTTCTTCTCACCCGAGCTCTTCGTTTCTTCGGAATCGCTCATGATGATGACGACGAGACAATCGACTAAAACAGTGCCCTAGAGCGAGCGCTCTGATACCATGATAAGTGTTGAGTTATTACGAGAACTACGAACAAAAGACACGGTGTTTACGTGGTATCTCCGAAGTGTCGGGACTAGTCCACGGGAGAGGGAAGCCTCTCCACCTACTGTTTTATTGAATATGAACTTAATCAGCCAAGCGGCTGTACATGACAATATATATATCATTAGTTACAGTAGCTAGGGTTTTCTTATTGCTCAAGGCTTTTGTGTTACACGAGGAAGAAGGACTCTTGTCCATGCAGCAGGCTGACGAGGAGAACACGTCCTGAGCCGATTGCCCATGCTGGCCCAAGGACGTTGGCGTGGCTTGAGTTCAAGTCCTTAAACCTCATTTTTTAAGGAGAATCTTAAAGCCTTCCTATTGGCTGATAGTGGATTAGGTAGTTAATAATGGTTAGTAGTTAATAGGTAGTTAAGGATAAATGGGGTAATGCAAATATAATTAATTAATGATTCTCTTTCTCTCTCATCCCATGATTTTCTCCATAACCCTCTTTCTACATTATAATTAAAAAATATATGAAATTAATTTTATTTAATATTAATAAAATCCGAATTTAATAGTTTTCTTTTTCTAAAATGGAAATCTGAAATTTAAAATATATACCTCTTTCACATCTTGGCAACTTCCGATTAGTATTAAGTATTAACATTTTGTAATGGCATTATCAATATTTATAAATTGAATCATCATTAGGGCTTTTTGTTGCATGGGTTTGAGATTTTTCGTTGTTAGGTATTCATTTGTGTTATTATTAATGTTGTTCGACATGTTTTTTAATAATTTTATATGACATTATTAACTTTTTATGTTATGTTTTGTTTGTAACATTAGCAAAAGTGAAATTGTGTGTTTCAATTTGTTGAACCTTGAAGTTTATTTACTATTACATCGTATTATCAATTTGGTTCGCAATGATTTATAATCATTTGAAGTGCTATTATCAATGTTTTTCTTCCAAGCACAATACAACCATTAGCAAAAATTTATTTCATTTGTAAGATTGCTTATGTTAAGTGATTTGAATTATTAATATGTTTTCGTTTATGTTTGTAACTTTGTCAAATGTCATTATCAAGAAGCATACTTGTTAGGTATTCGTTTGTTTATGACATTATCAAAAGTGAATTTACGTTTAATGTGATAACTATGGTTATTAATCTTTCAGTCTAAGTTAGTAACGTAGTTGGTGTCATTATTAATAGGTGTGTATAAGCATTATCAATGTTTGAAAAATAATATATTAATAATATCTAACAAGGTACTTAAAAATCATTAGTTGCTATCATTATTAAAGTTTTTGGATGCATTATCCTTAAACACATGTTACTTATTAATGCGTTTTTAGTGCTATTTGACATTAAACATTGCATCTGAATGTTATTAATATTTTTTTATTACAAAAATCTATTTCATTGTGAGTGACTTGATCAATCAATATTAGTTTTTAATATCTTTATTAAAATTTTGACGTCATTTATAATGTTGAAGTCTAACATTTTTACATTGATGTTTTGTGTTTATTTTCAACAAAATACTTTTCATTATCAATGATTTATTGGATTATTATTAAAAGTTTGGTGTTGAGGTGTGAATGTTGGTTTGCTTGAGCTAATATTTTTTTGAACAATGTTTGTTTGACTGAACCACACAGGTGCACTATGTCACAAGTACCCAAGATGTTGAAAATCAGTATTGTGCTTTATGATCATTGAGAATGATAATGTAAAGCAATATTAATTGATCATAAAATGTTAATAATGTCATTAGAAATCATTGGAAGAGGCATGACTAGATAGTTATAAACATGATATGAAATTGTGAATGTTTAGTACTAAAGATGTTGTAAATCAATTATATTGTTATTCAAACTGTTAATAACCATGTTACATAACTTTAATGATTCATTCATAGGCGTTGATGACGAAACTATAAAACAGTAACAATTTATCCAAAATTGTTAATAATGTAATTGTAAGGAATTGATAAGTATATTGAAGTCGTTAATAATGATGAGGTATCATAATAACGATTCACTTCATAAATGTTGATAATCTCATTGCAAAATGTTAATACTGTATTGCAAGTTGTCACGAAGTGAGAGAGCATATATTTAAATTTTCAATTTTCATTTTAAAAAATAAAAACTATTAAGTTCGAATTTATTAAATATTAAATAATAATATTTAATTAAATTAATTTCGAATTTCCTTTTAATTGTAGTGGAGAGAGAGGGTTATGGAGAAGATCAAGGGGGAGAGAGAAAGAGAATCATTAATGAGTAATATTAATTATATTTTCATAATATCTTATTTATTCCAACTAACTATTAACTACTAACCCCTATTAACTACCTAATCTAGTATCAGCCAACAAAAATGGTTTAAGAACATCCTTAAACAATGAGGCTTAAGGACCGGATCCAACCCGCGTTGGCGTGTGGCCCAATAAGAGTTGATCAAGATTGGGATGGAATTTCTGCTTCACTAGAGGAAATCCGCACATCCTTGACATGCTGTAATAGGAAGGTCGGTGACGTCATCGGTGTCCGAGGATGAGATGAGATCACGAGAAGGACAAATAAAACAAAACCATAAAAGAAAAGGAAAAGGGAAGGGAGCATGTAAATATAAATAAGGTGTTGGTAACTTGGTATCTCGCATCTGGATCTGGGTGTCTAAATAAATCTCTGATAGCGGTGGTGTTTGTTTGTGGAGAAAACATGATGATGTTGGACGAGGAACAACGCAAGAGAAGGAAGAACAACTTGGGGATGGTGACTTCGGTGGCAGACCAATTCGCGAAACTGCCGGACGAATTGGCGGTGAAGATACTCTCCCGGTCGGCGACTACGCTGAATGAAGCGGCGAGATGCAGCAGCCTATTGGGGAAACTGTGGAGGTACATGTGGCAATTGATCGACTGTGCGGTTCTGGATTTCGAAAAACTCGATGGTGACGTCACACCCGAAGCGCAGCGGCGGTTCGTGAATCAGGTCGACCAAGCCATCAGTTTGCTCGAGCAATCCAAAACCAGATTGGACGGTTTGAGAATAGGGTTCAAGCTGTTGAATATGGAAGAGGCCGGCTGGAGGTGGATCCGATTCGGTTTGACGGCGAGAGTCAAGCGCCTGACGCTGTTGTCTTACTTTTCCCGCATTTGGTGCCCACACGGACGCAATGAGATCCCCGTCCCTCTCTTCACCCCGGAATTCCTCCACACGCAAGACCTCAGCCGCCTCGAGGTCTTGGAATTCCAAGGCGTGTCCGAGATTCCTCGAGGAACCCTGGATCATCTCTTCTCCCACTGCCCCTCGCTGCAACACCTGTCTCTCGACAACTGCACTTTCCACGACAAGGATACAGTCCTCAGAGTTTGTTGCCCCAACAACAGAAAATTCCAGAGACTGACATTCAATTTCCCAGAGTTTGATCACAATATCAGCAGGATTGAAGTCCTCTCTGCTCCAGGTCTTCATAGTTTGGAGGTGCGTGGAGCAGAATACATCCCATGGTTCGAATTTGGGGACGACATTGCTCAGCTGCAGGAGCTTCGGTTTTGTAACCAAGGGCTCTGTGGACTGCTGCAAGACTGCTACTTCCCGTGGTCTCGTTCTCAATTCAACAAGTTTGCACCGAGATTGCAGCTTTTCAAGTACGACCTGGTGACTTACAACTTCGACCCTGCATCGAATCGTTGCCCGGACTGGCTGCAGTTTGAAAAGCTCACTGTGTTGGATTTGACCATATATATCTATCATACCCGCGGCTCAAGTATGCTGGAGGTCACTGCCCTGCTGAGGGCAGCTCCATTGTTGCGCCAATTGTCCATATCGTTCCTACATGCATTTGGCTACACAATCTGGAAGGATCGTGCAGAGGAGTCGGCGGCGGCGGCGACATGGAAACATCACTCACTGCAGCTGCTTCAGCTCCATGGGGTGCATCCAAGCAACAAAAAGCAATTTCTTGATCCTCGCAAACCCCAAATGCAGCTTGCTGCCTACATCATCCTCAACTCCCCTTCATTGAACCAGGTCCTTGTTGATACCAGGAATTTAGGATCCACCACCCCCAGGGAACCACATGAGGTTGATGCTCTCGTCTCTGGAGCTAGGATGGAGTTGGAAAGCCGTCTCCACTCTCACACTGCCACCTCTCAGATTTGCTTCACTTATCGATAGACACTTCTTACTATAGCAACAAACAAGGTTGTCAAACCGGTTTGAGCCAGTGTGCCGGTTTAGCAAGTGGAATGGTTCGACTGGTGGTACATACCGGTTTGTGCCGGCTCATGCCGGTTAATATTACAAATAATTTACAAATACTCATATTTAAACACGACATTTAACGTCAATACCTAAATATTTGTACTTGAATCCAACAAATAACATCAACATTTAACTTTTTAACACATAAAATAAATAATAAATTACTTTTTATCAATTAAGTTCACTAAGATAAGATCATTTTACTTGGAGATACGTATATCGATCATGCCGGTCATACCGGTGGTGTCATACCGGTTTTATGACCTGTACAGGTTGAACCAGTGGCACGCCGGCCGGCGTGACAACTATGGCAACAAAAGAAGAACTCTTTTGTAAATTGTTTTTTTTTTGTGTGTGTAATATCATCAAGCGCAAAAGTAATTCTTAACTTTAGTTACTAACAAACAATGACTTTATTATTAATCATCCCCGTTGAATTATTAAGACGCCAATGTATTTCTTCTTCAATTATTAAAACACCACGACGTCGAAGCTTTAAACAGGTGAATCATTATTTTTTTCCGTTGAATCAATCGCTTTTATTTCTATAAGAAACCAATACAACGAAAGTGGGATAACCATCCCATGAAACACGAACTAACCCCCAGCCCTATCTGAGTACTATACTAATGCTATATGAACAAAACAACAAAAGACTATAAGTATCCCAACCAAAGCATCCCTAGACCCTCTGTTCCCACATGAAAGAAACATCAAATCCATTTTGATTAGTTCCGCAACTTGCTCAGGGGTGCAACATGGCGAGCCATGAATTACACCACACCTTTCCTTCCAAATGAATGTCACCAACATGCACCACATGAGAGCTTGCCATTCCCCTGCTCTTGCTGATCCAGCAGTGGTCATGAAATGCACCATAGTATCCCAATCATCGTGCAGCAACATGTCACTCCTTATTACAGCAGCAAGACCTCGTGCAAAGGAACACTGAACAAAGAGGTGATCTCTGTTCTCCACTTCCTTGCCACAGAGCAGGCAAGATGCTTCCCTGATCTTACCCCATTTTAGTAATTTGTCCCTTGTAACGATGGCATTCTTCATTATTAACCAAACTATCATGCTGTAACGAGGTGGGCAATTTCTGCTCCAGCCAGCTTGTACCACTCAACTCTAGGTGCCTTACTCCTCAAAGTTTCCCAGACTCGACGAATTGAGTAGATATCCATCTCCTTTGAATCCCAATAAACAATATCATTATGCTTATGCATCCAAGGGAAAATCACAACCCTCAGTTTGAGAAGTCTTTTCCAAGCCCACGAGCTACTATATTGCACTCTCAGGGACCAAAGCTCACATTTCTGACACTTATATTCATACATCCACGCAACCCATAACATCCCTGAATTCATTAAGAATAACCAGAGCATCCTAATGGTGCACACCTGATTACAAGCAACCAAATCCTTGACCCCCAGTCCCCCTTCCTGTTTAGGAAGAGCTACCTGCTCCCATGCCATTTTTGCCTTACCTTCATCAATTCCATGCTATAAAAATTGAGAACATACCTTTTGAATTCTTCTAAGAGCCTTCTTCAGTAGAATGAACAACTGCATCCAAAATTGGACTACTCCCAAGAGCACAGAATTAAGCAATTGTAACCTCCCTGCATATGTGAGCTTCTTTGCGCGCCAAGACCTGATCCGTTTTGTAATTTTTTCCACCAGAATATCAATTTCCGTTGATGATAGCTTGCCTGCCAATAAAGGTAATCCCAAATACCTGACTGGCAATTTCCCTTCCTGAAACCCAGTAAGGGCCAGAGCATTGCTTGTGTAAAGAACGGAATCACCACCAAAATATATTTCACACTTGGCTGGATTACTGTTAAGCCCCTAGATCTGATAGAAACGCTGCAGGATCGCTTTGACCTGCATTATTGCCTGAGCAAACCCCTTGGTAAATATGAGAAGATCATTCGCAAAGCATAAGTGATTCAAAGCAACTTTCTTGCATAGAGGATGGAAAGGTAGAACCCCTAACTGGCTTGCTTCCTTTAACATAGTGGACAACCCCTCCATAGCGATGGTAAATAGATAAGGCGACAATGGGTCACCCTGACACACACCTTTCCTGGCTCTAAAGAAACCGCAAAGGTTGCCATTAACATTGATACTATAATGGGAAGTTTGTAGACAACTTCTAATCCACTTCAAAAATGTTGCAGGCAAGCCCATGACACTCATCATGAAGAACAAATACCTCCAGTTTACAGAATCAAATGCCTTCATTATATTAATTTTTATTGCACATCGAGATGAAAGACACTGTCTATTATAACCACTCACCAATTCCTGTGCCAACAGAATATTATCCATGATACTCCTCCCCTTTATGAATGCAGACTGAGAATTACTAATAATCAAAGGCATAATCCCCTTAATTCTGTTAGCCAGAACTTTAGCTATTATTTTGTATAAGAGGTTTATACAAGAAATAGGCCTAAAGTTTTTTAAGGTATCATCATTTGGAATTTTTGGTAGCAAGGATACTGCAGTAGAATTAACACCACTTGGGAGGTTACCTGAGTTGAAGAAAAAGAGAATCCCCTTGATCACATCCTCACTGATAATCACCCAAGCCCTCTTGAAAAATTCTGCTGAAAATCCATATGGCCCTGGAGCCTTTTGAGAGTTCATACCAAATACCACGGCCCTTATTTCCTCACCAGTGACAGCCTGGATCAATGTCTCACATTCATCCTGAGGGATTTGTTTATGGACAAGCCGCTTCACCTCCTCTTCACTAGGGTTAATATCCACATTAACCTCTCCCAAAAGTTTCTTATAGACACCAATCATTTCCTCAACAATCTGATCAGTATGATAAATCTCCTCACCTGCCTCCTTTACTAAATTCCTGATTGCTCTCTTTGAATTGCGTATCTTTACCGCTTGGTGGAAGAAATTGGAACTCTTATCTCCAACAGCTAACCAGGACACTCTAGATTTTTTCCAACAAAGGCTCTCATAGGCCTTCGAAATTTGCTCATATTGATCTTTAGCCCGCGCAACAACTTCAAAATGCTCTGGTGTAGGGCTTGAAAAAGCTCTAATATTAGCACTGTGCAACACAACATCTGCCTCTTTTACTTGGTCTTGAAGATTCCCATAGACCTCTCTATTAAATTTCTTTAAAGCCTTTTTTAACTTCACGCAATTTCCCCTGAATAATATGCAATGGATTCCCTGAGACCTCTACCTTCCAAGCATTCTCAAAAATTTCCAGGAACAATGGATGCTCGACCCAAAACTCAAAATACTTAAAAGGGTTTAGGCATGGATTTAATTGGAGCCATTGTACTTACTTGCACCCCACAGTGATCTGAGAAATTTGCAGGTAACACTTCCATAGCATAGTCTTTAAATTTTTCAATCCATTCCAGATTAACCAAAGCTCTGTCAAGTTTCCTAGCAATAGGATGGTTAACCTGCCTATTGGTCCATGTGAATTGAGGACCAATGGTTCTGTAGTCAAGCAATTCCATCTCCCCGATCCAAACATTGAAATCAGCCATACTAGTATTAGAACTCCTATAGTTTGATGTTTCCTCTAGCACACACACCTTCTTAAAATCTCCACCTACAATCTACGGATGACCAGCAACCTTTAGCTTAGCTAATTCTTTGTAAGTAGCCTGGCGCTCTGCTTCATCATTAGAAGCATACACCGCAGTCAAGAAAAAACTATCTTTGTTTATATCCTCTACCAAGCAATGAACAAAAAATTTCCCCGGCTTTAACACTCGAATCTTTATCTCAGGAACCCAAAACAACCAAACCCTGCCTAGATTGGAATCAACACAGTCTATACATCTCTCCCATCCAACAAACCCCTCTTCAATAGCCTCTTTAGCTTTTTCTGCCTTTATTCGAGTTTCAAGAACAACCACTACGACTACCTTATTTCTACGAAGGACTTGCATCAAGTCCTTTTGTTTGGAGGTCTTATTAAACCTCCTTACATTCCAAAAAAGTATTATCATCTAGAAGTTGGGGGCTTCCCCCCTCCTCCCTTCCACTGATCCTTCCTAGTATCCTTTTTCTTTGGAGCTTCAAGAGCCCTGCTAGCTTCTTTATCCCCCAACTTACTCAACACACTGACAGAAGATGATATAATTTGGATAGAGCCCATCAGAGCATTTGTTCCTCTATTTCCCGGTGGCACGTGCCCTCTGGGATTATTCGGGACTGGAGTATTTAGGGGAGGGGTTGCCTCGGGATACTTTTCCCATTTTTCTGAAGAGGTTGTTGGCTTTGATTAATCAGCCTAGATTATTCATTGCAGTAGTAGCAGTCCTTTGGAGGATCTGGTGGTCTCGCAATTGGGTTGTCTTTTAGGGCAAACAATTTAGTTTCCCTACATTGATGAGGCAGTTTAACCAACAGTATGAAGAGTGAGTTAGTTTGCCATCCAGCAAGGATCCCAAGGTCTTGGGTCGGCCCATGAGCCAGTCTGGATCGGCGGGAGCTGCTAGCCTGGTTTGCGTGTGGGATGGTGTCACTAGGAGTGGGTCTCATTCGGCAGGCAGATTGGCGATTCTCAACTCTACTAGGGAGGTCATTCTGGCTAAGGGGATTCAGTTCCAAGTGATTGATGAACCTATGGTAGTGGAATTGCTAGTGCTCCGAGAGGCTATTTTATGGTGTATGAACCTTGGGTTTACGGATATCACTTTTGAAGGCGACGCCAAAGTAATCATTGATAAAATCAACCATGCGGACGTCAGGGATAATCGGATGGGTGCAGTTCTAGAAGAAGTAGTTCATTATTTTAGCACTCATTCTGGTTTTAGTATTCGATTTGTAAGTCGTGATAGCAATAGGGTAGCCCATTCTGTGGCTAGAAAGGCCTTGTCTTTGTATCCGACTATGAATCGTGGCTTTGATTATCAGACCTGGCTGAATTCCAGGATGTAACTTTCTTTTGTGGATCAATACATGATTATCTTTTGTCAAAATAAACTTACCGTACATTTCTGTAGTTTTCTATTTAGACCAAGAATCTATTGGATTTTGGTGCATGATATTATATCCTAATTTCTAATGGGTAAACCCCATCCACTAATTTGGTGGTTTCTCCTAGTAACCGGCCAAATCATCCTCCGGTGTAGTGTGAGAATCCTGAGAATAGCCATTGCAAATCAAGTTAGGGAACACCAGCAATCGGCCCTCCCTTCCAGCCAAAGTAACCGGCGCAAAGTGCTGTTTAATCCCCGGGCAAACGATCGGCCTGACTTCGCTCGACGTCCCCACAATAAGGTTGCGCGATGCTCTGATGGGAGAAAGGACCGCCTTGGAATTGCAACCCAGTAAAAAACGGCGAACAGGTAAAATGAAGGCATGGAGATTTGTCTTGCCAGCATCATGTGATGCGTTATGGGAGGAGGGCGTTTCAGACCCTATCCCTTCTTGTGGGAGTGCTATCCAGAATTCGAGGATTAACTCCCCAAGGTCGCCCATTGAGGTTCAACTCAGACCCCGAGTTGTGGCGAGTTCGACCGATCAACACAGTGGGTCTTCTTTGCCGGAAAAATTTCCCGGCGGCCGGCCGATGAGGCTCGGCAATTCTCTTCGTATCTCGACTCTCAGGTCGGGTACTCGGGCCACCAGTATCGGATCCCACCCGGATTTTCAGCGGCCTTTGTCCCGCTGTAACGGCCTGGGATTTTCGACTGTTCCTGGAGCCCGTAACTGTCGAAGTCTATCTAACAAATTGGCTCGGCACGAAAGTTCAAAAATAACAAACTTCGGAGTCCCATCCCGAGTATGTCTCCTGCTGCCATTGGGACGCTGCATGGCGGCCCCGTTTTTAAATACTAGGTTTCACCGAGATGCTCCAACACCCCAAAAAAAGCAAGAGCAGATCTCCGAGTTTGAAGCCAGTGACCTCATTGGCAGCAGAGACCGCTTCTCAGGTACGTGGGATTTAATAGGGGTCGGGTTGAGTTTTAGGCTTTGCCTGGATTCAGCCTTGCTTCGAATCCTTAATGTCCCGCTCACGTGTTATCCGTGGTCGGTGTTTGACCCGTTCCTCGGTACTCAGGCTTTATTGCCATGTGACGTTGATGTTATGTTTAATCCTGTGCAGCAAAAGACCATGTCGCACGTCTCTCAGGATCAGATTGTTGAATTCTCATTGGAAGACGTCCAATCGGAGAGGATGCTTAGGGCTCGCACGGTGTTAGGCCGCCTCTTCTCTGAAAATCAATTCTCTTTAGCCGAGTTGCGGGAGGCGGTGAACAACCCGTGGCAGGGACGCAGCCATATCAGAATCAGGATGGTTGCCCAAGGGCTGTACGAATTTGTCCTTACGACGGAGGCGATCAAAGTTTGGGTGCTGCAACAATCGCCTTGGGTCATCAAGGACAGGATACTCCATTTGAGAGCCTGGTCCCCTACCATCACCAGGCGTACTTTTGATGATCTGGCGATGGCACCCTTCCGTATCCAACTTTGGGGGGTGCAGGAGGATTGCTTTACGAAGCAATTTGGAAAAAGAGTAGCCGAAGCCACTTTGGGTAAGGTGCTCGATGTTGGGTTGTACTCGTGTTCGGAATCAGCACGTAAATTCATCAAGGTGAAGGTGCTCTTTGATTTCTCTAAACCGCTGCGGTCTCAAATCATGGCATCGAATGAAGAAACGGGGAAATTCTGGATAAGCCTGAAATACGAACACTTACCGAGCTTTTGTTTTCATTGTGGCCGGGTCGGTCACTCTCGTCAGACATGCGTCTTCGATCCGCCAGCTGGACGAGAGAAGTTTGGACCGCATATGCTGACCAAGCAACTGGGCCGTAAGTTGTACGATGATGAAGAGGCTCCCCGCCCTTACCCACCTCGATCGGTTTGGGTGAATACGGAGCACAGGAACCTCTCCGGCAATGATCACCATTCGCAACCTCAAAAGCCTACTGACAATCAAAGGGAAGCGGGGAGGGGAAAGAAGCAGCCGGATACGGGGGTGGCTCATCCAGCTGTGGAAACGAGCCCTCTATGGATGGGCACGTCTACTCAGCCGTTCATGGAGGTGGAGTCGTCCGCCCCACCAGGGGAAACACAACCCCCTCCGTGTCCCCATGACCAGGAGCCCGAGAATTGCTATTGGCAATCATGGCCGGCAGCAGCTCCCACAACAGGGCCTGAGTTCTAAGGGCCCCATGCCAGCTCGGAAGAAAGGGACTGAAGGAAGGGGCCGCAAGGTGAATGGGGACTCCCATTCTGATATGGTGAATGCACTGCGCTCTGTGAAAAGGAATAGGAGGCCAAGAAGAAATCAGCCGTCTCACTCCTCGAGGAATTCGCCTGTTATTGCCAAGGAGGTAGACCCGTCTCGGCGGCGCCGAATGATACTCCAGGATGAATCGGAAGAGGAGTTTGTTGTGCATGAGCCCCCCATGCAAGCTCATCTGCTAGGCCCGCTGGGAAAGGGTGATCTCGGGCCAACGAAATCCCAAGACATGCACAGCACTCCTAGTGTGGAGATTACTGAACAGAAAGGCTATGACTTCGATCAGCCGATCCCAGCCAAAAAAGCGGATATTAATATCCCCAACCCCCTCCCTTGACTGGTGGAGTCGACGCGTCATAATGGCATTATCATTGACGCGAAGACTTTGCGGGTTTGCCCGCCGGCTGGTCGAGAAAAGGGTGACCAGGGTCCGACGAGAGCAGCTGAGGTGGACGTGGACAGCTCGCGGTCTGCTGCTGGACAGGGGATGAACCCGGCTGCTGATCACTAGGCGCCGGCCGCTTCGACGCTTACTACGTCGGAAGAAGAAGTCGACCTCTTTGAGCTGAAACGGCGCGCTACGGCTGGGAGAAAGAAGCTTCGCCGCTTTAATCAGACAGGCCGTGTAATCCTATGCAGCAAAAGACCATGTCGCACGTCTCTCAGGATCAGATTGTTGAATTCTCATTGGAGGACGTCCAATCGGAGAGGATGCTTAGGGCTCGCACGGTGTTAGGCTGCCTCTTCTCTGAAAATCAATTCTCTTTAGCCGAGCTGCGGGAGGCGGTGAACAACCCGTGGCAAGGACGCAGCCGTATCAGAATCAGGATGGTTTCCCAAGGGCTGTACGAATTTGTCCTTCCGACGGAGGCGATCAAAGTTTGGGTGCTGCAACAATCGCCTTGGGTCATCAAGGACAGGATACTCCATTTGAGAGCCTGGTCCCCTACCATCACCAGGCGTACTTTTGATGATCTGGCGCTGGCACCCTTCCGTATCCAACTTTGGGGTGTGCAGGAGGATTGCTTTACGAAGCAATTTGGAAAAAGAGTAGCCGAAGCCACTTTGGGTAAGGTGCTCGATGTTGGGCTGTACTTTTGATGATCTGGCGCTGGCACCCTTCCGTATCCAACTTTGGGGGGTGCAGGAGGATTGCTTTACGAAGCAATTTGGAAAAAGAGTAGCCGAAGCCACTTTGAGTAAGGTGCTCGATGTTGGGCTGTACTCGTGTTCGGAATCAGCACATAAATTCATCAAGGTGAAGGTGCTCCTTGATTTCTCTAAACCGCTGCGGTCTCAAATCATGGCATCGAATGAAGAAACGGGGAAATTCTGGATAAGCCTGAAATACGAACACTTACCGAGCTTTTGTTTTCATTGTGGTCGGGTCGGTTACTCTCGTCAGACATGCGTCTTCGATCTGCCAGCTGGACGAGAGAAGTTTGGACCGCATATGCTGACCAAGCAACTGGGCCGTAAGTTGTACGATGATGAAGAGGCTCCCCGCCCTTACCCACCTCGATCGGTTTGGGTGAACACGGAGCACAGGAAACTCTCCGGCAATGATCACCATTCGCAACCTCAAAAGCCTACTGACAATCGAAGGGAAGCGGGGAGGGGAAAGAAGCAGCCGGATACGGGGGTGGCTCATCCAGCTGTGGAAACGAGCCCTCTATGGATGGGCACGTCTACTCAACCGTTCATGGAGGTGGAGTCGTCCGCCCACCAGGGGAAACACAACCCCCTCCGTTTCCCCATGACCAGGAGCCCGAGAATTGCTATTGGCAATCATGGCCGGCAGCAGCTCCCACAATAGGGCATGAGTTCTAAGGGCCCCATGCCAGCTCGGAAGAAGGGGACTGAAGGAAGGGGCCGCAAGGTGAATGGGGACTCCCATTCTGATATGGTGAATGCACCGCGCTCTGTGAAAAGGAATAGGAGGCCAAGAAGAAATCAGCCGTCTCACTCCTCGAGGAATTCGCCTGTTATTGCCAAGGAGGTAGACCCGGCTCGGCGGCGCCGAATGATACTCCAGGATGAATCGGAAGAGGAGTTTGTTGTGCATGAGCCCCCCATGCAAGCTCATCTGCTAGGCCCGCTGGGGAAGGGTGATCTCGGGCCAACGAAATCCCAAGACATGCGCAGCACTCCTAGTGTGGAGATTGCTGAACAGAAAGGCTATGACTCCGATCAGCCGATCCCAGCCAAAAAAGCGGATACTAATATCCCCCAACCCCCTCCCTCGACTGGTGGAGTCGACGCGTCATAATGGCATTATCATTGACGCGAAGCCTTTGCGGGTTTGCCCGCCGGCTGGTCGAGAAAAGGGTGACCAGGGTCCGACGAGAGCAGCTGAGGTGGACGTGGACAGCTCGCGGTCTGCTGCTGGACAGGGGATGAACCCGGCTGCTGATTACCAGGCGCCGGCCGCTTCGACGGTTACTACGTCGGAAGAAGAAGTCAACCTCTTTGATCTGAAACGGCGCACTACGGCTGGGAGAAAGAAGCTTCGCCGCTTTAATCAGACAGGCCGTGTCCGCCAGGCGGTCCAAGCCTTTGAGTCGGGCCTTGTGATGGATACGGGCCTGCCCGAGCAGCCCGAGGGGAGTGGGGGTGGGATTGAGCAGTTGGGTCTCAACGAATACGGGACCAATCTTGTGGCACCTTTGGGCGGTAACTTAAAACGCCCTTTGGAAGAGTTGGAAGATCATGCTGCGTCAGCCCCGACCCCTAAGAAACAATTTGTGGAGGAAGTTGAGGAAATGGATGAGGTGGAGAGAGTGGCCCCACCCGATTAAATGAGGCTTCTGGCCTGGAATGTGAGAGGAATTGGGCCATCCCTCACGTTCCAAACTGCTGTTGGTTTGATTCGTTCGAATAAACCGGATCTCGTTTTTCTTTCAGAGACACGATCGAGCCGGAGAGTAGTGTCCCACCGTATGCGCGGTTTAGGTTTTGAGTTTTCTCATTGTTTTTTTGTTGATGCGATTGATGCATCGGGTGGTTTAGTTGTAGCGTGGGCCCCCGAATTTGATGCTTTGGTGTTCTTTCATTCGAACTTTTGTATTTGCACTCAAATTAATGAAAGTTCTGTTTCTTATGTGGTGGTTTCGGTCTATATTAGCTGTCATCATGCGATTCGAGCAAATCAGTTGGCTCAACTTCAGCAGATCTGTGCCGATATCCATCTTCCTTATGTGGTCATAGGTGACTTTAACGCAATTCTTCGTGAGAATGAGAAGGATGGTGGGAATGCGTGGAATTTAGCTCACTCTATGAGTCTTAGGGATTTCGTTCAAGACCTTGGTCTTCACGATCCTGGATACCACGGGGACCCTTTCACTTGGACTAATAAACGGATGGGGGTAGCCTGTATTCGTGAAAGGCTAGACCGAGCTTTATGCTCCCAGGGCTGGATTGATCGCTATCCGGAGACCCTGGTCAAGCATTTCACAGACCAGGGATCGGATCACCGGGCACTCCTCCTCTCTGACAAACCTTATACTCGTAATACCAGACCATTATTCCGTTTTGATGCTCGATGGGCGGATAATCCGGAGGTCAGGGCGATGGTTAGTTATGTTTGGAGGGAGGATGTCATGGGTAATCCTATGTTCCAGCTGTGGGAACGGTTGAAGAAGCTTCGGCACCTACTTTATGACTGGAGTAGAGCTGGTACCACCAATTCCCTGCGTAATATTAAAACTCTCCAATCTGAAATAGACCAGGTGAAACGTGTTCATCCAATCGACTGGGACACTATCCGTGGCCTGGAGGTTGAGTTGAATAGGCAGTGGGAGGCTGAGGAGATTTATTGGCAACAGAAATCCAGGGTCCATTGGTTAAAAAAAGGAGATCAGAACACTTCCTACTTCCATACAGTTACTAGAGCGAGGAGGAAGCAAAACTTTGTGGCTGGCCTCCGAGATGAGAATGGGGAATGGATAACGGATGAAGCTGGGAAGGCAGGAATTGCTTGTAATTTCTATAGTTCCCTCTTTACTTCAGAAAATGAGATAAGGAATATGAAAGAGAGGGTTGCGGAGTTACCCATAGCCCAGCATATTTCCCAGGAGATGAATGCTAGATTGACGGCGGAAGTCCTTCCTGATGAAGTAAGGAAAACCGTGTTTTCTATGGGATCCAAACAAGCACCTGGTTCGGATGGTTTCACTGGTAAATTTTTTAAGGCCTTCTGGGACATTGTTGGTTCCTCTGTGGTAGAGGCGGTTTGCTCGTTCTTCAGAACGAGCCGGATACTCTGTAGCTTTAATCATACCTGGTTGACCTTGATTCCCAAGGTGGACAACGTGGAAACCATGAGGCAGCTTCGTCCAATTAGTCTTTGTCAGTTCATTTACAAAATTATCACTAAGATTATGGCCGAACGGCTGGCTGAGCTGTTGCCTCAGGTGGTTTCTAAAGGTCAAAATGCTTTTATTCGGGAACGGCAGATAGTAGAAAATATTCTTATCGGGCATGAGTTGATGCATTATCTAAAGATAAAAAAGACGGGAAAGAAAGGGTACATGGCTCTAAAGGTTGACATGGAAAATACCTATTATAGAGTCGAATGGCCCTTTCTCCTCGCTGTCTTGGAAAAAATGGGCTTCAACTCTACCTGGAGGGGGTGGGTTCATGAATGTCTTCGTACGACTTCGTTCTCGGTCCTGATGAATGGTACCCCCTCGGGATATTTCTCCCCGTCCAGAGGGCTCCGCCAGGGGGATCCTCTTTCTCCGCTCTTGTTTGTGCTATGCACCGAGGGATTTGCGGCTCTCCTGAATAAGGCCATTGCAGAACACAAGCTCCAAGGGGTTAAGGTGGCTCCGAGGGCTCCTCGTATTTCGCACCTCTTCTTTGCGGATGATTCCTACTTGTTTCTGAGGGGATCCCTCCAGGAATGCGAAAATCTGATTGAGGTTTTAAACGAATACGAGGACCTTAGTGGTCAGCGGGTTAATTTGGAAAAATATGCTATATGTTTCAGTGGAAATATTGCTTTGCCTGACCAGGAATTCTTGGCCCAGATTCTAGGAGTTGGGGCAGTAGGGGTACACGATAAGTATCTTGGGCTACCAACACTCATTGCTCGCTCGAAAATGGCTACTTTTCGGTATTTGGAAGAAATACTGTTGGAGCGACTGCAAGGATGGAAACGGAGGACACTATCTTGGGCTGCTAAAGAGGTCTTGATCAAGTCAGTCGCTCTGGCATTACCATTACATGTCATGTCTTGCTTCAAGCTCCCTCTGTCCCTTTGCAGGCTCCTTGATAAGCATGTAGCCAGGTTCTGGTGGAGTGTTGAAAAGAGCAATCGAAAATTCGCTGGGTTTCTTGGCGTAATTTGTGCAAAAGCAAACATGATGGTGGAATGGGATTTCGCCGCTTTGAGCATTTTAATCAGGCCTTTTTGGCTAAGATTGGATGGCAAATCCTTAACGAACCTCAATCTCTCTTAGCGCAGGTCTATCAAGGAAAGTATTTCCCTACGGGAACTTTTCTCACTGCTCAAGCGCGATCTCGTCCATCTTGGGGATGGCAGAGCGTTCTCTATGGTAGGAAGTTGCTTGAGAAGGGGATCAGATGGCAGGTTGGGAATGGTCTGAAGACCTCCCTCCTTTCATCAAACTGGGTTCCGCTTTTACATCCGACTCCTCCGCGATTCAACCCTCTGATCCTTCCGGTGGGGGGAGATCTCCCAGTCGCTGAGGTGATCATCCCGGGGGAAGGACGCAGGGATGAGTCTAAGTTGAACCAGTGGTTTGATCCTCTAACCTGTCGAGCCATCAAAACTATCCCTCTCCCGCGGGGCACTGTAGAGGATCGACTGGTTTGGCATGACTCTGCGGATGGGGCTTTCTCGGTGAAATCTGCTTATCATCTGGCAGTCCGCTTGGATCAGTGTACCAACCGATGGAGAGCTACGGTTAGTTGGATGGACAGAGTCAGTTGGATTCGGTTGTGGGGGGCCAAGATTCCGCCCAAGCTAAAGGTTTTTCTTTGGCAAATTTTTAACCGGGCTCTTCCCACAGCAGAGGCGTTACGTGAAAAGGATGTGGAAGTTCACCCCTGGTGTCCAGTGTGCTGGTCGGCGAGTGAGACGATGGAGCATTTGTTTCTTGACTGTCCGGTAGCCCGTGCACTTTGGGATTTTGCAGGGTTGGAGCATTTAGGGCAAGGGTTACCCCGTCATACTTTCCCTCTCTTTCTTAAGACTTTGATGGCAATTGTCCATCAGTCGGACCTGTGGTTGGCTGTCGTGGTTGTCCTCTGGCGAATCTGGAAATCTCGCAACTGGGTGGTCTTTGAAGGGAAGCAGTTTGGGTTCCCAGCTTTGATGAGGCAATATCACCAGCAGCTGGCTGAATGGGCTCGCCTCCCTGCTGATCCAGGCATGATGCCAGTAACTCCCTGTCCCAGCGGCTTGAACCCGGTGCGGAGTACTTCTATAGTATGTATGTGGGATGGGGCGACCCGTCGGGGGTCGCACTCGGCAGGGGGGTAGTAGTCATGACGTCGGCCAGGGAGATTTTGGGGGTGATAGGGGTTCAGTTTCAGTGTATTGATGACCCATTAGTGGTGGAAGTTCTTGCTCTTCGGGAAGCGGTTTGGTGGTGTCTGGAGCATGGTTTCTCGATGGTGCAATTTGAAGGGTATGCCAAGGTCGTCATTGATAAGATCAATCGGGCAGAGACTGGTGATATCCGGATGGGGGCTGTGCTTGAAGAAGTAGTTTCTTGTTTTGCCTCTAGGACGGGGTTTAGTGTGCGATTTGTAGGTAGGCGTAACAATCGGGTAGCCCATGTGGTGGCTAGAAAGGCCCTTTCTTTGTTGCCTTCTGCTTGTCGTGTGTTTGATTTTCAGGCCTGGCTGAATTCCAGGATGTAATTATCTCTTTGGTTAATCAATATATGATATCTTTTGCCAAAAAAAAAAACCCCATCCACTAATTTTCTAACTCAAACCATAAGATCCAATTGATCTAAAAATAATAACTGATGGTTCTGATTCACCGAAAAATATTGAAGTGCATCTAATAAGTGTGAAGGCAGACATATATAATGTTTTAGATGAACGCATGTATCTATACATTTCCAAACAAATTTTGTTATATTATAATCTAAACTTTTACCTTTAATGTTATGGTACATGTTTAGTTTGTACCTATATATTTTAATACAAATTCATTTATAATACAAAATGAATGTATACCTTTACGTTATTTTACAATTTGTACCTACACATTTTCGTACAAATTATTTTATA